ATCCCGGGATGGATCTTTGCAAGTCCTGCGAGCAGGACTCAGGGTCCTCATTGCAGCTCTGCCTGCTCCTATTGCAGACAACCCCCCTGCAGCCACAAAAAGCAAAACCAGCGAAGACATCGCACAGTCATCCAAGTACAGCCCTGCCTACTCCCCGGACCCGTACTACCACTCCGAGTCAGAGTACTGGTCCTTCCAAAGCTCCCCCAAAGGTAACAGCCTCTCACTGACTGAGGGGAAAGCAAAATCCATTCCTGCCCCATTCTCTGAGGGGGAGTCACCCCCAAGTTGGGTCTGGACCTGAAGGTGGGGTTGGGCCATGATACGTGCCAAAGTGATGCAAAAATCCTAGCCCTTGGGACTCGATTGTCCCCACACAGCTGGGAACTGCCTGCTCCCTACCTGCCTCCACCTTCATCCCCGTCTGACCCCTTCATTTGTCTCCTTGCAGCCCCCCGAGCCCGAAGGTTCTCATCTGGAGGGGAGGAGGATGGGTACGATCGGGGCATGCACAAGGTGAGCAATGCCCTGGCAGGGGAGAGCCAGCAGCAAGCTGCCCCCATGGCAGTGGACTCTGGGGAGGAGACCCAGCCCAGTTCCACCACCCAGGAAGGGGCCACCACCATCCCTGCTTCCCTCGGCCATCCCCAACATGGGGTCTGACGGGGGGTGCGAAGCAGCCTTTCCCCCCTGCCCAGATCCAGAGCGGCATCGGCCGGCTGATCCTGAGGGAGGAGATGAAGGCTCGGTCCAACTCCTATGCAGACCCCTGGACACCCCCTCGCAGCTCAGCCAGCAGCAGAGAAGCCCTGCACACAGTTGGCTATGAGGGCTCCCTCAACGGCTGTAAGGACCCTGTCTGTCTGTCTGTCCATCCCACCCAGCAGAGCCCCGGTGGGAGGGAAGAGCAGGGGATGGGGAAGGGGGGGTGGATGTGCTGAGTACCAGAGATAGACCTGGGAGTCTCTTTTCCTCTGCAGGGCTCCATCTGTTCCCTGTGCCCTGGCCAGGATGGGGCAGTGCCCGATGGGTGTTTGCAGTCTGTCTAGCAGCCTAGCGAAGTGCCTCATGGGGTGGTTGGTGGTCCCTTGGGAATCCCACAGCACAGGCATGCTGGGCTTGCCCTGACCTATTTTGGGCTCACTCCTTATGACTGGCTTCAGGGCTGCCATCCTTGCTTGCCCTGCTCTCATTGCACAGCACCCAGGGCACCCAGCCCTCAAGCTCCAGGGATGGTGCTGGGGAGCCTGACAGCACAGCTCGCTCCATGCTGTTCTTCCTCATGGTGCATCATGGAGCTGGGGTTGTCAGAGATGCTCAGGGACCACCAAGCAGGACCCATAGGGCTGGCAGCCAGGCAGCTCTGCATGGCATGGGGTGCCCGGTCATCCCTGACGCCCGGCTCTGCTCTCTTTGCAGCTCCCCGGATGCACTACCTGGCTGACAGTGGTGAGTGTGAGCCTGCAGCCCTCCACCGCTGGTCCCCTGGCGTGATGGGGTCCAGGGCCTAGGCTCTGGGATGCTGGGACCAGTGAGGGAAGAAGGAGAGAGAAGGAGGCCTTGAAAGGCCAGGGTAGAGCTGAACCAGTGCAGTGCTGGTGACAGAGAAACTGAACGAGATTGTGTTGCACTGAAGGGGGAGGCAGGAGGGCTGCCATGGGAAAGGGATTTTGGGGAGAGGAATGTCTGCACAGGAGGAAGCTAGCCTGGAAATGAGTTGGAGCTGGAAGGAGATGGAGCTGGGTGAATGTGGAGCTGGGGAGTAACATGGGAGCACAGGGGTAGGGTGGCCCAGAGAGTGCTCTCCCAGGGTGCGGGGCTCATCCCTGCATTTTCCCTTATGCACCTTGGTGGCTTGTTGCAGATCCCCTCATTTCTAAGTCGGCCTCCCTCCCTGCCTACAGGAGGAATGGGCTGCACCGGGTAAGTGCCTCCTGCTGCATCCTGCTGCTGCCGCACATCTCTGCGCCCTTCTTCATTCTCCCCAAGTTCCTTAAAGACCCTGGTGTGCCTTTCTGGGTGTCCTGCTGCCCCCTTCTCTGCTCCCCTACTGTCACTGCTGGTGTGTGCCAGTCCAAATTGACCCTTACTGGGGACCAAAGTGCCCTGTCCAGGCAAGAAGGACAGAGGTGCCTGCCCTGAACCTCCTGCAGGGCACATTCAGAGGGTCGCTGGTGTTACTTCCCAGTGCAAGAGCTTTGCCTTGTACCCTGGGGCACTGATTGCTGGGGTTGGTCCTGCCTCATTGTGACCTGGGCTTGTCACTTCACCTTCTCTTGCCTCAGTTTCCCCACTGCCAGGGGTGGAGAGGGTCCTGCTTTGGGGTGGGTGGGTGCCTTTCCCCCTGGGGACATGGGAGGTGTTGTGCTGAGCATCTAGAGGGTACCCCTCTTATTCCTCCCTCCCTGCATCCATCCTGCAGCCTCCCAGTGCCGAGCTTTTCCACTACGACAGCACGAATGCCGTCAACTGGGGGATGCGAGGTAAGGCCGTGGGCCAGGGGACCCTGTAGGCACAGAGCCAGATGCCTGGCAGCAGAGGGGCCAGCATGGCTCATGTCTCTTGTCTTTTCTCTCTTCCCACAGAGTACAAGGTAAGATGCTGCTGCTCCAAGGAGTGGCTGCCAGCTGGAGGTGCGAGTACCAGAGCCCCAGAGATGTGTCCATGTGTCCTCAGGCCCTTTAGGAGCAAGCTTTGCCCTCTGCTCCCCATGCCCTACCTTCATCACCCTCCATTCCCCACCTAACAGCCCTGTCCTGGAACTATGGGGCTCAGACCACGGTCCTTTCCCTCCTGCCAGGGTCCCAAGCACTTGGCTGAGCAGATGGGGGCTTGTCCCCAGGCACTTGTCTCCTTGATGGGGAACAGAGAAGGGTGGTAGTGCTGGTGGTTCCCCCACTCACGCTCATCCCTGGATCACTCCTGGTTTCACAGTGAACAGGAAATTCCAGAGCCACCACAGTGATTCAGTGTGGATCAGGGTCACCATGAGAGCAAGACCCCGGTTGCCTTGTCCTGTCCAAGCCACCCAAACCCTGCTGAACATGGCAGGAGGAAGCTTTATCCTGGTGGCTTCCACAGCCTCATTTCCAGGTATGCCCCAGTATGTCCCATGGTCTTCCTGTCCCTGTGCAGATATACCCCTATGAGCTGCTCTTGGTGAAGACGAGGGGAAGGAACCAGCTGCCCAAAGATGTGGACAGGACTCGGTTAGAGGTGAGAAGAGCCTTTTCCATTCGGGATAATTTCCTCAGGGCTCAGAGGGACCCCATCCCTTGGGGTGTCCCCTTAGCCCCAGCAAGCAGTGTGAGGCTGTGAGGGGCTCATGAATGTGTGAGGAGCATCTCCATGGCACACTCATGATGGTGCTGCTGCTCCACTGGCCAGGCAGAGCTGTTCCCCATGCCCACAGCATCAGTGCATTTAGCAGGTGGGAGCTGGGTGCTCTCCCGAGTGAGCACTGCTGGGGGCTGCAGCACCCCATTGCGCACAGCAGGGCAGGGGATGCCATCGGACCCCCAGGTCGTGGCTCTGGTCCCCATTCCTGGCCCAGCATCCTGTCTCTCCCCAGCGGCACCTCTCCCAAGAGGAGTTCTACCAGATCTTCGGCATGACCATCGCCGAGTTCGACCGCCTGGCACTGTGGAAGAGGAATGAGCTGAAGAAGCAGGCCCGGCTGTTTTAAATGCAGTGCACTATAAATATATACATACCTATAAATATATACATAGAAAGATCTCTATCCTGCAGCTCTGTATGATTCTCGGTGCTGTACGTGGCAGAGGCGCCCTCTGCACCCCTGAGAGTGAATTGGAGTCTCGCAGATCATTTTATGCTCTTGGTTTTCTTTCCCAACCCTGTTACTGTGTCCATTCTTGGGTTCTGCCAGGGGCTGAAGCCACAGGGCCTGTAAGCACTTGGTGTCTGTCACTGCTGAGGTGGGGATGGCAATGCTGCACTGGTGATTGCTCCTGTCTGCTTTAGGGCAGCAGCAAATGAACCGATTTTATTTATAATGATTTTACTCCTATAACCTGTGTCTCCCTAAATCAAGCTCAACCGTTTGTGGATATGAGAAACTTCCATCTCCAGCAGCAGTTTCAGTGATAAAGCCTGGAGGCCATTATTAATAATAACACAATGGTGGGAGTCTTTTCATTTTCAAAGCATTTTAAGGACAGTGTTGCCCATAACTACCTGCATGGCAAAGATGGGGAAACTGAGGCAGGGCTCAATGCTAGCTCTCAGGGAAGCCTCTCCAGCCCATGCTGTTCAGGGGCAGCAGAGGTGGGCACAAGGGATGCAGAGAGACCACTGCCTCCCAACTGTTCTGTGCTGAGTGCCCCAGATGGGGAAGCCCTGGAGCCCAGCTGCTAATGCACGCCTAATGGTCCAGTTTTTGCTTTCCTAAGTGATAAGTGGGTACGTGTGAAACTGAAACACGTTTCTGTCACAGCCTGCTGTCCCCAGAGGGCTCTGCTGCAGGTCTGAGGTGGGCGAAGTTGTCCTGGGGGTGCCAGGAGTCGCTGTTCCTGCTGCCACACGTTCCCTTTCACACCCCACTGGTCTCCGAAGCCCAGCTTTGCTCTGAGGTCTTTGCTGGGGAGGGACGGTGACAGGGAGCATCATGGCCAGGCTGGGCGCACGATGGGCACCAGGAGGGAGCGGATATGAAGGGGTTGCGGGGTGCTAATGAGGGGCTGTGCTTGCTCACTGGGACTGGTGAATCAGCGCTGGGTGGGGGAATTAGCTCAAACTAACCCACTCCGGACCCCTGCTACTCATACGGGGGGGATCTGCGGGTGCCGGGGTGCTCAGTGCGCGGTATGGGGCAGCGCTTGGGGGGCTCACGGGGATCCCGGGGCACCCTGGGCGGTGTAGGGAGGTGTGTGCGGGGCTGCCCATGGGGGGGCACCGGCGATGGGGACAGCCCCGGGCGGTGCGTGGGGGCCGGGCCCGCGTTCGGCGCTGCCGCGCACGGAGGGAGGGGCGGACGAAGCGATTGGCCGCTCCGACGGCGAGACCCGGCCCCACCGGGCGGCTGCTCCCGGTGACACTCGCCCGCCCGCGCCTCCCGGGGCGGCCGGTGCTGCCCGCGGCTCCGGCACCATGGACCGGCTCAGCGGTAAGGGGCGATGGGACGGGACAGGACGGGACGGGATGGGATGGGATGTGCATCCTCTCTCCCCTCTGTGCCGGGCGTGCGGAGCCCGGAGATGCGCGTGCGGGTCCCGGGGGCTGCGGGTCGCGTATCCCTTTCCAAACCGAGCGGGTGCTCTCACCGGATCGATGCGAGACTCTGTCCCCTTGGTGCCTTTGCCCCCCACCAACCCGGCAGGGCCAGCAGGGACGCAAACTGGTACCAGTTTCCCTTTGCTGGTCAGATGGGTGAAAAGCCAGTGGCTTGAAAGCAAGTTGATGGGGTGTAAGCACTTGTTAGGGGCAATTATGGTCGTAGAAAGGGAGGTGGCTGATGTTTCTAGATGAAGCTGATCGGATCCAGAATTTCCCTAGCTGGGGAGGATGCCGGTGGTCTCGTAAAGCTATGGAGGACCTGATCCCCACCCTGCTGGGAAGAGGCTGCGTTCCCACGTGTGTGATTCCTGCCTGCTGCCTATGGCATGGGGCTCACGTAGATGTTGGGCTTTGATCTGGGATATGAATAAACCTGCCAGGGCTTTGGGCCAACTTTGCAGAGAAGCTCCGGGCTTTCTGCTGGGGCTCGCAGGTCGCTGGAGGGAGCAGAGGAAACTTTCGGGGGAGTTGCTGCTCGCACCTGCTGAACAGTGGCCTGGGGCTGCAGGTGGTGACATGGTGTAGCATGGGGGTACTGGCCTTTAACCAGTCCTCAGAGGTGCTACAGAAGGACCAGCCAAAAGTTATAACGGAGGAGGGCAGGGGCATCACTGATTCTGCAGGCTGGGACCACGCACAAGTCCCAGGGTGGTTCAGACAGTGCTGAGTCTGCAGCTCTGGGTCAACACCAGAAGGACCCGAGGGTCAGGAGCTCCCCTTCCCGATGTAAAAGGATGGGGTGGCGTTTCCGCAGTGGAAACTCAGTTATTAGGAGTTTGACTCCTGGGCTGCCGCTCGCCGTGTCTGTGCTCAGGGAGCAGTGCCAGTGCCCAGCAGCCCGCGAGGGGACAGGACGGTGACAGGGACAGCCTTCCCCCGCGGCTGTGGCTCGCCCTGCCTGCCAGCCAGCCAGGGTGGCTTTGCCAGCGCTGAAGGAGGATGCTGTTGCTGGAAGCAGTGTTGCCAAATGACATGCGATGGCAGAGCTGTCTTTCAGGGTCCTGGAGGGCTTCACTGATGGGGAGAGAGGAGAGCAGAGGGTCTTTGCTTCCCATCCTCCTGCTGTGCGAGTTGGTGGGAGGCCACTCCGAATCAAACCAGGAGCCAGACTGCATGGACAGGCAGGGGATGCTTGGTACATTATGGAAACCATCCTGGAGCACCATGAAGACAGGCCAGGGCACGGTGTAGCTGTTCCGCAGGCTGACCCTGCTAGAAGAGTGCCACTGGTGCTGTTTTATCCCCCTCATTGGTGCCTGCTGTGGTAGTGGCTGCAATGCCTGCTTTGCTTTGGGTCCTTGTAATGAGGTGCTGTTAGTATCTGGATGGCTCTCTGCTAATGTAAACCTCCTGTTCATCACCCTGAATAGCTGGATCACTCTGTGCCTCACAGAGGGGAGGTGTGGGGGTCTCACCAGGCTCCCTTACCTAGCACAAGGGGTACTGGATCTGTGGTGGGTAGGAGCTCTTTGCCCTATTCCCAGCCTCTACCTGCCTTCTGGCAGCCCCTTTCTTCACCTGGAGCTCCAATCAGGCCCTGTGTGTATCCTGCCTTGCTCTTGCTTTATGATCTGCCAGCTCCTCCATCTCTACCCATGCTCCACCTGAGCCTGCTGCCTTCCCAGTGCAGGGCTCAGCTCCACACCAGTGGCTGCTTGTGTTGCTGTTTTGGGTTGTGCTGATGGAGGAGCACACGCGTGTGTGGTTTGGGAAGTGATCTGTGCCATGAACCTTTGCTCTAGCAGGGCTGTGCTCACTCACGGCTTCTCCTCATTAGTGACACTTCCCCGACCTTTTCTGCCGCCAGAATTTAGCTCCTGCACCAAACTTATCTGGGGTCTAAATCCAGCAAACCAGCAGAGGTGTGTCAGGGATAAACTTGGCTCCAGCTTGCCCACAGGAATGGGGAGGCCACGGGGTTGGTGGGAGGGAGCCCCGGATCATTCCTAGCAGTAGGAATCCATGCACGGAGCCTGGTGGACGGGGGTGAGGAGCAGGGATCAGCTGCTAGCGCCAGGCAAGTGCCGAGCTCTCCCCCGCATTGCAGCCATTCCTTCCGCTGGAAACCCAGCTGCCCCGATCCACCGCCTGTTTATAGCCTGGAGCATGTGGGGAAGGGGCTGAGCCCACCGTGGGCTGCCCAGGCCCCTGCGTGCTGGGCAGAGCAGCGGGAAGATTGCCCCAAGGGTGCGGATGCCAAGTGGAGCAGGGCAACACTGGAGTTATCTGTCCTGTATCTTCCAGTATCCTTCTGTGTGCCACGCTGCCCTTAACCAAGGGAAATGAGCCTTGCTGTAGGTCCTGGATCACTGCTGGAGCCAGCCTGGCTGCTCCAGAGGGACTTGCCCTGCACATCATGGGTGCATGTGATAGCAGGGGCTGCTGAAGAGCAGGCTGGTGTCCCCAGCCGGGTAGTGTCCTCCAGCCAGGGGCCCTGGGGACTGTCCTGGGCTGTGTGGAAAACCTGCCTCTTTTCCACGTTTGACCTGGAAATGCTGTTTTCCGGTGCAAATGTGCTGAGCCTTGAGGCTGATTCACCCTTTGCTATGGAGCAGCACTGAGCCCCCGTGTACCTGAAACCCTTCTGCCTGCAGCGGACTGGTGGTTCTTATCCCAGCCCAGGAAAACTCTGTTTAAGGCTTTGAAGAAGTTGTCTCATCCCAGCAGTGGGAAGGCTTTTCAGGGGAGCACAGGGAGCAAAAACTAAGCTTGACGCAAGCTTTGCGTGTGGCTCAGTAGCCAAGTAACTTGCTGGGGACAGAGATAATAGCATAGAGGCTTGAAGTGGTTTCTGGCATCTCAGACTCATGTCCTGTCCTCTTAACCCTTCCCTACACCAACTACTATCTAGCCTAGCACAGCCAAAGCTCTCTCCTAAGGAACACACATCTCCTCCTATGCGTAAGGAACCTTAGTTAAGGGCACAACTGTCAATTCTGTGAAGTATCTACTAAATGTCACCCTTCCAGGGCAGCAGCAGGACAATTGGGTTGGAAACCTCCCAAGGTTGCTGCAGCCCCTTCCATTTTTGTTCCTGATATGCCTCCCATCGCATCAAAGGCAGGCTCTTTGGCAGGCAGGGGAAAACACTGATATTTCATAAGAGCTTAGAACGAAAACAGATCTTTGCTGCGAGGGGTTTCCATGCTCAAAATGCTTTTTTCTTGTTCTGTTTTTGAAGTGTGTTTCATGCACATGTGATCCTGGAAGTGATAAGAGGGAGCCCCCGGGAGACTGGTATGTTCTGATTACTGGCAATTAGCAGGAGATGTGGAAGGAGTGGCTCAAAGAATGGCTTTGGCTTTCTTCTGGGTTTTTTTGCACATTAAACCCATCCAGCTTGGTAATGGGGCGGGAAAACCCTTTTTGGTTCCTTGTCCACTGGGTGCAGCCTCCCATTTCATGTGGTCTCAGTGTCATGCCTTCGGAAACTAAGGGTGTAAAGAAGAGAGCCAGGAATTTCCTACCAACAGGTTTGATAGTTGGCTTTTGCATCCTGCAGTTAAAAGCAGATTTGGTGAACCAGTCCTGGCACTGATGGAGCCATCGGCATTAACCAGAGCAGTCGCATCTTCCCGTGTGCTCCAGCTTATCGGCTTTCCCGCCGGGATAAACTGGCTTTCCTGCTGGGATAAACTGGCTTTCCTGCCTCTCCATCCCTGCCCTGCAGGGGTTAAGCGGGTAGGAAATGCTGTCTGCCGGTGGCCTTGCTACTGCACCTGATGCTCCCGGCAGAGCTGGGCAAGGGAAGGAAACGGAAGGGCTGTTCTCAGCTGAGAAAATACGCTTATCCTGCCCTCCGAGGGTCCTCCGGGGCAGCACGGCCAGGCCCCACACACAGACACCCTCTGCCTTGCCCTGCCTGCCCAGGAGCATCACTGAATACAGGGACAGGGCTGAGCTGGCCACTGAGAGGGTCCCAATTCCACTGCTGGGCAGGGAGGACTCAAGCCCAGCACAGCTCACAGCTCCTGGGCTTTGCCAGGTTGGGGCAGGGATGTAATACAGGAGGCTGGGTGCTGTGTGCTTGTCTCCCTTCGACTTTGTGGAGATATTTCCCCCACAGAGGGTCTGTGGTTTCTCCTCACTGCCTCTGAAAAGAGGGGTTTGCACTGTGCAACGTGGCTGAAAGCATTTGGGAAAGCATAGTTGGCTGGTGGCTAATCCATTAGCTCCTTATGGCAAATCCTGCACCCATATCCTGCTAGATGAGAGTCTCATACCCTATTATGCTTCTGAGGGTCCAGTCACTTTCACAGCCACTTATGTGACTCTTCCTCTAGAAAGATGTGTCAGGCCTGCCAGCCTTCCCACATCTCACTCCTGCGGGTTGGGTATTGCACCCAGCGTGTATTGGATCTTGGTTTTGGGGAAGGACACAGAGAAAAGCCTTTTGGGATGCAGAGAGTTGGGGTGTCCATTTTGGAGATCTGGGGGCTGAAGGACCCACCTGGCCCTGGGTGTTGACATAGCTGTGCCTGCCCACAGGCAGGGCAGCGTGGAGAGCATGTCCACAGGAGAGCCATTATCAAGTATTGGGGTGCTGAGTCAGCGGGTTTCCCACCATGGTGCCTGCAATTAGCTGTAATTCCTGCTGTTGTGCAGCCTGAGGTTTGGTGGAGACGTAGGGCTGCAGAGAGGTGAGAGCTTCAGGTCCCCCCAGCTCTGAGACAGCAGCGAGGTGTGACTGGGGGAGGATTCCTGATGCTCTCCTTGCCACAGTGGGTGGTCAGGTTCCAGGGCCAGTCCCAGTGTCCGTGGGGAGCCCAGGCCAGCCTGCTGCTGCCTGCACTGCAGAGTGTTTGGAAAAGGCAGACACCAAAATTCAGG